TGCTTCAGGGTCTTATAAGCTGGGAGGAAAAGGAGATGTCCTGACAATTTCAAACAGACTGGATAACCAAAAAGAATTTCTCAGATGATTTAGATGGAGCAACTTGTTTCCTTCTGAAGTCTAATATATCACTGCAACCTGGATTCCTGGCTGTAGACTGAAAACGTGCCACAACAAGAAATGTAAAGGTAGCAAGCAAGTAAAACTAAAATAATTAAATCCAGAAATTCTATTAAAACACTCACCCAAACCTCAACAGTGATTCAGAGCAGTTTTCCTGAGGGGAAGTTACTGTTCCTTTTTAAAAACAACAACAAAAGCTTGACTCATGCTGGGGCAATATTAATATTGCTGGAATGGCAATTTGCGCATTGGTGTGTCTAACAGCTTGGGAAATGTTTTCTGATTCAGAAACGTACTCCCATCACCATTAGCAGCTATGGTTTTCCAGATAAACCAATTCACTAACAAGACTCAATATCCTTTTTCTTGCGAGAATTTTCTTGCGAGAATTTTCTTGCCTGCCTTTAAAAGTGTGTTGCAGGTTTATAACATGGGCTGAGGAACATCTGGTTTCATTCCGAATGAATATGCAAAAAGTAATCAGTGAAGCTTATTCCTATTTAAATGACAACTGATGGTAATTTACTCTGGCACAGAGCTGCTCCGCACACGCTTGCTTACTGCCGTCTGCTTTGCTATCCCTTCATGGGGTACACCTGCCCAGATGGAAACCTAAACACATGCAGAGCTCAGGTGGTGTCTGCATTGCACGTTCAGCCCAGGGGCTGAACCTGGAGCTCTATCCCTAACCTGGCTGGTGTTTACGCTGTTAAACCCCAGCTCGTGGGACCAGGCTCTCGTTTGGCAAGCCCAAAGTTAAGAGAGAAGCTAAGAGCTGAGGGCGAATTAATACTTCGACAGTTATTCACCAATACTCAGCCACAACTACACTGAAGACAACTTTCATCAGCTTCCCACCCCTGAGGCCACCATGCTGCGCTGCTCGTCCGGTTGGGAGCCCTACGGCCAGTGCTGGTTACCCACCGGGGTGAGGACCGGCGAGTGACTCATCCGAGAGCCCGAGGACACCTCGCACCTAATTGAATGGGCAGAGAGGAGGGTAAGAAAGCAACTCCAGGTGCCCAGAGGCCGTGCCAGCCGAAGATGCGCTAGGTGCAAATGCGGTGTGTGTGCAGCTCCCCACCAGCCCCTTCTTCAGCCTGCCCAGCTTTCTCCTGACACTTGCCTTTTGCTCGTTTCCATACAAACCTAGTTAGACCGGCTATTAGGGTTACTGGTATCTTTTGTTCCCTTGAACTGTGCTGTGGAATAAAAGCACGCGGTGACTCTGTCGCTGCTCTTGCCGGTACCTGCTCTCGTCTGTCCCTCCCGATGGGAGGTTCTCGTAGGCTCTCACGGTGTGCGGGTGCTCAGCGCAGATGGGTATGCGTGTTCGGCACACTGAAGCCCTGGTTACCGCCTCAGGGGGCTATTGTAAAACAAGTATGTTTTATGATCCACAACTATCATGCTGATATGCCTCTCTGCAATTTAAAATAATGTAATTTCAGGCCCCGAGGGCATTAATATGAACGCTGGGTTATGTTCCAGCCTGGCTTGCAAGCACAGTCTGATTCTCGATGGCATTTCGAGCTCACTTGAGAAACACAAACTCTCTTTTCCAGAAGGGGACTCAGGGCAGGAAACCACATCATTTTACAGTTGAGACAAAGGGATCTGCATAAGTAAAATCCTTCTGGTAGCTTCTTCCAGTTGTAAAGGTAATGAGATGGGATGATGCAAGCTGCAGAGCTCCCCTGTGGGCATGCTCTCCATGAAGAAAGTAGGTACCGAGAAGCTTGCTGGGTGCAAAACTTCATACCCTGTGGGCACCCTTCTGTAGGGTAGTACCCCAAATTCCTATGTATAGGCCAACTACCTTTCCTGGGTGGTTTCCAGGGTTCATGCAGGTATTACTGTGTGTTTTGCCATCCCTGGATTACTTCTGTGCCCTGGAAGCAGCTGTGAAATCCATCTGCCTGACGTGCACCAGCGCTTGCCAGTCTCCTGCCTGACCGGGTGACTGCAGGGAAGTAATAAGAAACAAATTATTCCCTTAGCATGATGTGCTGAAA